TTTAACCTCTTAAACTCTGACTAAACTTCTTTACGTTTAACCTCTTAAACTCTGACTAAACTTCTTCTTCTTGTCCGTCAGCAAATCATCACGAAGGAGTACGAGCTGTTTGACTTCAGGAAGACAGAAGTTCCTCCTCTGCTGCTGATCCTGGACCGCAGCGACGACGCCATCACGCCGCTGCTCAACCAGGTGACCAATGGCAGCGCACCGTCGCCGTGACATCACCGGGTTCTGTAACACGAGCGATAAAATAACGACACGATTATGCAGATTAGTAAAAAGTCTGAATTCATGTTTTGTTAGTTCTCTCAACAAGATGACAAACAAACAACTTTTAAAATACTTGTTTTCTGAATGGAGTCTGGTTTGATCGGTGCTAAGCTAAGCTAACATTGTAGCAGCAGTACATGTGTGTACTATGTGTGTACTATGTGTGTACTATGTGTACTATATGTGTACTCTCTCAGTGGACCTACCAGGCGATGGTCCACGAGCTGCTCGGTCTCAACAACAACAGGATCGACCTCTCCAGGGTTCCGGGGATCAGCAAAGACCTGAAGGAGGTGGTTCTATCTGCGGAGAACGATGAGTTCTATGCCAACGTGAGTCTGACGGAGAACACTGAGAACGTGTGCCGATCATCAGTCAATACTATCAGTACGTGATCGTGTGTTATGATTGATTAAACTAGTGTGTGTGTGTGTGTGTGTAGAACTTGTACCTGAACTTTGGAGAAATCGGCACCAACATTAAAAACCTGATGGAAGATTTCCAGAAGAAGAAACCGAAAGAACAACAGAAGCTGGAGTCCATCACTGATATGAAGGTCAGACAGACAGGAGAGACGGATAGCTGAGAGACAGAGTTGCTGGTTGAAATCCCCAGACATTTTCTGTGTCCTCAGAGTGCATCACCTGTCTGTCTGTCTCCCTGTCTCTCTCTCTCTGCCTATCTGTCTGCAGGCCTTTGTAGATAACTACCCCCAGTTTAAGAAGATGTCCGGCACCGTGTCCAAACATGTGACGGTGGTGGGGGAGCTGTCCCGGCTGGTGTCTGAGCGTCAGCTGATGGAGGTGTCGGAGGTGGAGCAGGAGCTGTCCTGTCAGAACGACCACTCCAACGCCCAGCAGGTACCTGGTCTACTGGTTTACTGGTCTACACTGAGGGGTTTAATGTGACACAGATACTGGATTCTCTCTAGCTCATACTGAGAACAATATTTAATATATAACCAGACCTAGTTTCAGACCTGGTGTCAGACCTGGTTTCAGACCTGGTGTCATACTTGGTGTCATACCTGGTGCCAGACCTGGTTTCAGACCTGGTGTCATACTTGGTGTCGGACCTAGTTTCATACTTGGTGTCAGACTTGGTTTCAGACTTGGTGTCAGACCTGGTTTCATACTTGGTGTCAGACCTGGTTTCAGACCTGGTTTCATACTTGGTGTCAGACCTGGTGTCAGACCTGGTGTCAGACTTGGTTTCAGACCTGGTTTCAGACCTGGTTTCAGACTTGGTGTCAGACCTGGTGTCAGACCTGGTTTCATACTTGGTGTCAGACCTGGTTTCAGACCTGGTTTCATACTTGGTGTCAGACCTGGTGTCAGACCTGGTTTCAGACTGAGTTATTTGGTATTTTTGTACTGAAAGTTCTTGTTCTTTATCAGTTACCTTTTATATTTATTTACGATATAAACTAAATAAGATCTCATGTCTTTAACGTCTCACCGTTTCTCGTCCGTCCTGTTTGTCTCAGAGTGTTCGCCGGCTGCTGCAGAACCCTCGTCTGTCGGAGTTGGACGCCGTGCGCCTCGTGATGCTCTACGCTCTGAGATACGAGCGCCACAGCAGCAGCGTCCTGCCGGCTCTGATGGACGAGTTGAGTCGGAGAGGCGTGTCCGAGCGGCACCGCAGGGTAACGACATCATCGCTAACACACACACCGGGGGCTCTGATTGGACGCTGAGATCAGGACAAAACAACACAAATCATACAGACAAAAACAAGAACATGGCTCCTTTTTTATATTCCAGCGACTAAATACATGAGTAATGAAACCAAACAGAGAGACAAGAGTTAGTCTGAACATGAGTCATGTGACAATGTATGAATTCCAAAAAAGAGGCTTCTGGGAAATCTTTTTTAAGTTTAGAAATGACTGCATCATCTGCATACATTTTAATTTTGATATTCTGGCCTGCTTTAGGTCGGTTTATTAATATTTTCTGGTCCTGAGATGGTTTCACACCTGGTTTCAGACCTGGTTTCAGACCTGGTTTCAGACTTGGTTTCAGACTTGGTTTCAGACTTGGTTTCAGACTTGGTTTCACACCTGGTTACAGACTTGGTTTCACACCTGGTGTCAGACTTGGTTTCACACCTGGTTTCAGACCTGGTTACAGACTTGGTTTCACACCTGGTGTCAGACTTGGTTTCACACCTGGTTTCAGACTTGGTTTCAGACTTGGTTTCAGACTTGGTTTCAGACCTGGTGTCAGACCTGGTGTAATAAATAAATAAAAGAATGTGCCATATTACAGTTGATTCACAGAAGTTACATTTAAAGTTGTTCACATTATTTATTGACTAAGTAAGGTGTGTGTGTGTGTCTCTCTCTCAGTTGGTGAAGTCGGTGGTGGAGTACGGCGGGAAGAGAGTCAGAGGAAGTGACCTCGTCACGCCGACAGACGCCGTCGCCATCACCAAACAGTTCTTCAAAGGCCTCAAGGTACACACACAGACACACACACACACACACTCCCTTTTATTCAGAAAATAATTTCTTATTCTTCATCTCTTTTTATATATTTAATGTTTATGTTGTATAACATATTGTAAGTATATTTACGTCAATATTTCTAATGTAAATACTGTTAATATTAATTTTCTTTCAAACTGTTTATTTGTGATTGATGTCATTTTAAAAACAGACTTTATATTTTGTTTTTAAATATATTTTCTATAATTATAATGTGTGTGTGTGTGTGTGTGTGTGTGTTCAGGGTGTGGAGAACGTATACACTCAGCATCAGCCTCTGATTCATGACACTCTGGATCAGCTGATCAAAGGTAGACTGAAGGACAGTCAGTTCCCTTATCTGGGGGCCAGCAGCCTGAGAGACAGGTAACAGACACACACACACAGACACACAGACACACACACACACACGCTGAGAAGGTTGTCTCCAGGGCCCCGTTCCTCGTACGTGGCTAACTGAGTTAGCCGGATACTTGTCAGGATAAGATGACGTAGATCAGGCTTTTCGGTTCCACGAAGCAAGTTTGGCAAAATCACCATGGCAACACATCCATAAGCTTGAAGCTGCTCCAGCGCAGGCTAACTGAAGGTAGCTGGATAAGCTGCCACTCCCCCGGAAAACATGGCAGCTCCTGTCACATACGGTAGTCTAATGCGCTTGCGCATATACCGGGGGTTATACGGGAGTTCCGGAAATGCATGTAAAGTGAGACACACGGTGATCCATTAAAGCAGCTGAGCAAACTAAGAAGCCTCTATTGCATTAATGTACAGCTCCCTTCCTCAGAGATCCACTGATGGAGGATATTAGTTAGATTAGCGTTTTATAGGGAGAGAGTTCTTCCACATCGCCAAGATCCGTTATCACATCACGATGACTTCCTATACGAGCGCTATCCATTCTGCCCACAAGGAATCATTTATTTACAGACCTTCTGGAGCATACATTGAACACCACACGCTGGATGCAGCCTTGAGCTGTTCTGCGAGTGGTACATTGTTGTACAGTGTCGGCGATGCGGAGAACATGGGGAAAGCCGCTGCATGCCGTGCTGTTGGTAAAGTTTATTAGGCGCTTAATAAACTTATGGATGTGTTCATTACATCACCATGGCACATATTGTACTGACTCAGCATTCTGAGTAATGTGTGTGTGTTGGTGTTTACTTGCTCCCATGTCCTCTTGATGGCTGCGTTGCATACATGAGGGTTAAAGCACTCATAATGATATGACAGTGTTATTAGTACACCAGCATATCATTACTGTAGAACATGATGAAGGTGGACTCATGATAAGAACAGAGAGAATCACACACTATTGATCTTCACTGCTTCAGTTGATTGAATGCGTGATGATGAATAATACACACACACACACACACACACACACTGATCCGCCCACACACAGATTCACACACAGATTCACACACACATATTCAAACTAGTTCTATATGGTGATCTACACATACATGTATATACACATATATAGTACATGATAATGAGGGCATACAGTACATATATCCTCATATTAATGAGGATCAGTAGATGCTCTTTGGGCTTGTTTTTATCTTATTGTGAAAGAGTTGAGATCATTATTGTCGCTATAGATCTCATTGGATGATGCATTCATTAAGCCTACTGCCAGCAGCTCATTTAAAGACATATCATCTGATTGATTGGGGTGATGAGGCATTAAAATGAGCCGATACATTTACAACACTTACGCATTTAACGTGTGTGTGATATTTTGCGTGCTTCTTGTCTAGCCCTCGCAGCGGTGGAGGTGTTATATTTAGCCGTGATTATGGTCTTGAATTCCTCATATGCGTTCATGATCATCTCCTGCTCGTCAGCGGAGTAAAAAGAGGCTCTTTCTTTGACTTTATTTAACATTGTGCCGTTAGAAAATCATGGTTTCGGTGATCGACGCTTCCCCCTTTTGAAGTAGGACGGGCACGCGCAATTATCCTGATCCTGATCCAGATAGCCTGATGTCAATCATCTCCTTAATTTAGGCTGCTAATAGGACATTTGATCGACTTAGTTGAACCACGTACGAGGAACGGGCCCTGGACTCAACCAACGAAATCAACGTTTAACTCCGCCCAAATCCAAAAGTTGAACCAATCAAATCACGGTGGGTGTGATTAAACGTTCTGCAGACAGGTATAAAGAGTGTGTGTGTGTGTGTGTGTGTGTGTGTGTGTGTGTGTGTGTGTGTGTGTGTGTGTGTGTGTGTGTGTGTGTGTTACAGGCCTCAGGACATCATGGTGTTTCTGATTGGTGGAGCCACGTATGAAGAAGCTCTGACCGTCTACAACCTGAACCGCAGCACACCTGGAGTCCGCATCGTCCTGGGAGGAAGCAGCATCCACAACACCAAGAGGTGACGCGCACACAGACACGTTATGAATGAAGCTCTGATTATTATTATTATTATTATTATTAACTGCCATTGACTCCTCCCTCAGCTTCCTGGAGGAAGTGATGTCGACGGCGAGTCACAGCGCCGACAGAGCGCAAGGAAGCGGTCGCCCTGGCAACCGGCGCTGATCAACAAACCAAACGGTCGCCAGAGACGAAAAACAACAACATTCCTTCTTCTTCTGTGTTTGTGTTGAAACCTCCTTCAGTCAGAGGTTCTGTGCTTCATGTTAAACTGACTGAATGTGAATGTTCAAATAAAAGATATGTGTTCATCACATGAGTATTTAGGAGTATTATTTCTGCAGCCTTGCTCTCAACTGATCAATCATCTGAAGAGCTGTGTGAGTGTGTGAGTGTGTGAGTGTGCGAGTGTGCGAGTGTGGGATCGATGGAGCAGCTCAGACGTCTGGACTTCAGACAGCGGAGTGCCGCTGGGCGTCAGACGCTCCACGCTCGAGCTGCTGGACATGAGTTCAGACGTCAGCGAGTCGCTGCTCCGACTTTCTAAATTTGACGAGATTAAGAAAACTCAATCTCAACCACAATTAGATAATTAGGATATGTTCTGAAAGACTTGAGTGGTTTGAAAGTCTAAATGTTGGAGAGGACAGAGTTCACACACTTGTTGATTTCTCCAAAGTGAATTTACAGAAACTAGAAGTTTTGGATTTGACCAAAAATACTTTGAAGCAGCTCCAAACCAGCGACCTTTCTCCCCTCAGGTCTGTGTTTAGAATCAGATACGCTTCACGTTGCCCGTGAGGAGCTTCTGAAGGACCGGACAATCTTCAGACTCTTCATTTGACTTTTTCATGATACACCGATCTCTACAGGGATGCCTCGTCTAGAAAATATCAAGCTACATCTCACGTCTTTGTTTGAAAGCAAGAGTTCTTATCAAAGGGTTGAGTCACGGTTTTCCACATGACCTTCCTTGAGGAGCCTCCTCACACAGAACCATGATGGGCGTCATCACGTCATACCAGGTCTGCTAACAGGTCTGCTAACAGGTCTGCTAACAGGTCTGGAGTCTTTAGAGGACTTAGCAGCAGAGAGATTCTTCAAAGCCTCACCTCACCAAACACATTCACATCACAAGTGTTTCCTCAGCTACACTTCAGAAGGGAAACATAAAGCTGCAGATGAACTCTTTAGCGTGAAGCATCAGTAAATAAATAAATACGAGCTTCATCTTCTCAAAACATTTTGTCTTTTAAACGTCTTTAAAACAACGTGTTCGATATTTATAAGTGATTCCATAAAACTTTCATTATTGTTATAAATGGAAGAGATGAAAAGATCTATCTCTATATTTAATGATCAATAATGCTGTAAATGATGGTTCTTTGTTTAAGGTGTGTGTGTGTGTGTGTGTGAGACTGTGTGTGTGACTGTGTGTGAGTGTGTGTGTGAGACTGTGTGTGTGTGTGACTGTGGGTGTGTGTGTGTGTGCGTGTGTGTGTGTGAGACTGTGTGTGTGTGTGTGTGTGTGTGTGAGAGACTGTGTGTGTGTGTGACTGTGGGTGTGTGTGTGTGTGTGCGTGTGTGAGAGACTGTGTGTGTCGCTAGATGGCGGTGTCGGCTCCTTTCACCGGAATGTAGGCTACCGTGCGCGTCCGCGTGTCCAAGCTCGTTCACGTGTGTTGAGAGCGAGAGCATCTGCCTGCACGAGCGCACTCGCACTCACTCACTCACTCACACACTCACACACACACACACACACACACACACACACACACACACACACACACACACGGTCTCTCTCACTCACACACACACGCGCGGGGAGGATGCTGCCTCGGTTCAGACAACAGACGCGGATCTGAGGAGGAACCGGGCGGACTAACGGATTCACCGACACCAGGATCTACCGAGCAACCGGACCCGGGCACCGAGCTACCGGACCCGGGCCGAACCTCCTCCCCGTCGGTGTGATCGTCCGCTGAGCCCCGGAGCGGCGGGAGGATGAAGAAGAGCAACCAGAGAGGAAGGGTAGGCTGCAGCGACTCATCGCTTCATATAATATGATCCTGTTCATTCACAGCATCCCATAATACCACATAATAATACTACATAATAATACACACACCGTGCTCCGGATACCACTTCATTTATTCACATTCAGCTAAAGTCATTTCATATTCTGATTAATCGAGTCTGCAGAAATCTGTGAAACATTATTTTAAGATGCAGCTGCATGAAAATCAAAGCTCATCATATTAATGAAGAAATATTCATTATGTTTATTCTTTAAATGTTCAGCAGCAAATATTAAATAACAAGTAAACAGAGTTTTTAAGAGGAAACGTGTACAAAGAGGAAATATATATATATATATATATATATATATATATATATATAGAAATATTTGAAACATAAAAAGGAATCATTTTAAATATTCATGGATTCAGTTTGTTTGTGACGCATCTGGTTTACAGATCATGTACTTCAGTGGTACTACAGCGTACAAATACTCTGTTACAAGTACAAGTCCTGCATTCAAAGTCTGACTCAAGTAAAAGTACAAAAGTGTCAAAATAAGTAAAAATGAGTTTGATCTCAGTTATTAAAACCGTTTTTATATTTAAAGATCATCTCAAAATAAAACATTCAATCTTGTCACAGTGAAGTACTCTGACCCTCTACTTAAGTAAAAGTACTAGTACAACAATATAAAAAGACTTGATACTTTACGGTCCGCTAGGTGAGTCCAGTGGTTCTTAACCTAAGGATCGGGCCCCTCCAGAGGGTCACCGGATAGATCTGAAGGGTCCCGATACGATTTAATCGGGTTTGTTTTTTCCTAACTTGTCTCCTGTGAAGACAGAACTTTATTTTGAAAATACTGTATATATGTAACGAGCATAAACTGATGTGTTACTAACTTTCATCCCAAAAACGCATTAAAACGAAGAGTACCTTTTATGAAGACGAGCCGATGTAACAATATGTCGTGTTTGTAGTTTGTAGTATAACGTAGCATGAAATAGAAAGTAAAGTACAAGTACCTCAAACTTCTTCTTCTCTGTGTTTCCTTTGATTTAATGAAGCGGGTCAGACAAGTAGAGAACATCTTCATCATCTCCTCTTCCTCAGCTCTCTGCCCTGCTTCATGGTCTTCTTCTTCCTCCTCTTCCTCTCGTTTTCCGACGTCTTCATCATCTTCTTCTTCTTCTTGCTCTGAAAATGTAGATGTCTCTACTGGTCTCTACTGGTCTCTGTGGTCTCTCTCTGACCCTGTTGTTGTATTTTGGTGTTACAGGACTCGGTCCAGACTCTACTGGTGTCGGTGGTCTCTCTCTGACCCCTCTCTCTCTGGTGTTTCAGGGCCTTCAGGACTCGGGTCAGCAGGCGGTCCAGCAGCCAGACAAAGTGGGCTGGATCAGGAAGTTCTGCGGTCGAGGGATCTTCAGGGAGCTCTGGAGGAACCGGTTTGTGGTCCTGAGAGGAGACCAGCTCTACATCTCTGACAAAGAGGTGAGGACCACGATTACCCAGCAGTATATATTACTGTATATACACACACACACATATACACATATATTACATATACAGTATATAACGTGTACTGTGTGCGCGCACACACACACACAGTGTTTTTCCTTCCTCCATCCTTCTTCCCTAATTCTTCCTTCCTTCCCATATCCTTCCTTCATCCCCCCTCCCTTCCTTCCTCCATCCCTTCCCTTCCCATATCCTTCCTCCATCCCCCCTCCCTTCCTTCCTCCATCCCTTCCCTTCCCATATCCTTCCTCCATCCCCCCTCCCTTCCTTCATCCCTTCCCTTCCCATATCCTTCCTCCATCCCCCCTCCCTTCCTTCATCCCTTCCCTTCCCATATCCTTCCTCCATCCCCCCTCCCTTCGTTCCTCCATCCCTTCCCATATCCTTCCTCCATCCCTTCCCTTCCCATATCCTTCCT